GGGAGGGGGAGGGGCGGACGGGTGGGGGAGGGGTCCGGGAGGACGGGCCTGGCGGCGGGCTGCCTCCGGCTTGGGCGCGAGGGTCCGTGTGGGTCGGGGACCCGGGCGTGACCGTAGACGCCCCGAGCTGCTAGTGCGATTGCCCGAAGGTTCATTTCAAGTGATTTTTGGTTTTGTGTTTGCTTTGTGCTCTTCTGTATTATTGTTTACTGGCCTGTAATTTTTGAAATGACCAAGAGTGACCGCCTTTTAGGTGTCGATATAGGATGAAACGTACAGTTCCATTAATTTTGGCAAATGCATACTCTCTGGGGACCTTCACGACGGGTGTTAGAAAATGCACCTCAAAATTGCCGCTGGTGGTTAGGATAGATATATAGTTGCATTCTCTTAACCAATAGAGGGGTTTGTTGTAATAGTTTTTGTAAATAGGATATCCTGTCTGCATCTTGTACAGCAAATAACCACTAGGAAGACAGTATGCAATGTGTTAATTATTGAAACTGCACTACCAATTTGATTTCAAACTGTCTCGTTATTTGTCTCTCAAAATTATGGGGAAAAAAATAAAACGTAATACTTACGCATAATGAATACTATTCTGCTATGAAGGATGAATTTGAACCATTTGTAATAAAATAGATCTTGAAAATATGCTAAATGAAATAAATCAGACATATAATTTTAAAATTATATGCCACTGGTGGGGTTTCTGTCTCTATCTGAGTTTATCCGACCTTGAGCATCATGTAAGTGCAATCACTGAAAAGTGCACTCTTAAAATGGCTTCTTTCTCAGTGGCGGGTTGCTGGGGCGGAACCCAGGGCCGTGGCGCTGAGGTACAGCCCCTGCCCTATTATTTTGTTGAGACAGGACAACATAATGTTTTTGAGATTGATTCATGTTATGTGTCAATAACTTAGCACTGAGGCTGGGGAGATGGCTCAGTGGAATAAGCGCTTCCCTGGCAAGCGCAAGGACCTGAGTTCAATCCCCAGTTCTGCAAATAATAATAATAACAGCGCTTCTTACTGAGAATTCCACTGAATAAATAGGCAACATTGGTTTATTCATTCATGTGTTGGGCACTGGGGTCATTTCTAAATTCTCTAAGGAGGAAAACTTGGAAGAGTGAGAAAGGCATCCCTAGAAAGGCTGCAGGTGGTGCCGGCTTCTGGCGTTCAGTGATCAGCCAGGGGAAGCTGCTGCTGATTTTGTGATCATAAAGCCGAGAGCAGTGCAGTGGCCGGTTCGATCCCCTGCGTGCCCTGCCGGCCCCGCTCTGAGACGGTGATTGAGACTGGGCTGGGCGTGGTGGCACGCGCCTGTAATCCTAGCGTTTAGGAGGCTGAAAACGGGAGGATCAGTACGAGTCCGATCTACCTAGTAGACCCGGTGCTAAATACATTGAAAAAAAAAGCAGAGAACTCTTCGTGCTGCCTCATCCAGCTAGGGGCGGTCTG